GCAGCTCCCTCATCATACCCACTGCCCAGAGAGGTGCTTTATTTGGCTTGGGTCACACAGCGCGTTGGTGGCAGAGATGGGATGCGAATGAGACCCCTGCCTGGTACCCAAAATGCACCCCGGGGTCCTTGAGGAAGAGAGAGCTGCCGGGGTGGCAAGGGCCTGGCCTCACCCCGTTCTCTCTCTCTCCCCCACCCCACCCCCCTGCCCCTGCCCCGCGCCAAGGCCCAGGAGCTGTGAACGGCTCCCCGTCTCCTCTGCAGACGCCCAGGACACGGGTCCCCCCTGCTGCCACGCTCTGAACCAGCCGGCACCATGGCCGCTTCCAAGTTGCCCGCGGTGGCTGGGGAGGAGGAGACCACCATCCTCATGGCCAAGGAAGAGCTGGAGGCCCTGAGGACAGCCTTCGAGTCGGGCGACATCCCGCAGGCCGCCTCGCGCCTCCGGGAGCTGCTGGCCTCCTCGGAGAGCACGCGCCTGGAGGTGGGCGTCACGGGCGAGTCCGGGGCCGGCAAGTCCTCCCTCATCAACGCCCTGCGCGGCCTGGGGGCCGAGGACCCCGGCGCGGCGCTCACGGGCGTCGTGGAGACCACGATGCAGCCGTCCCCTTACCCGCACCCACAGTTTCCCGACGTGACCCTGTGGGACCTGCCGGGGGCCGGCTCTCCGGGCTGCCCGGCCGACAAGTACCTGAAGCAGGTGGACTTCGGCCGCTACGACTTCTTCCTGCTGGTCTCGCCCCGCCGCTGCGGGGCCGTGGAGACCCGCCTGGCCGCCGAGATCCTGCGCCAGGGCAAGAAGTTCTACTTCGTGCGCACCAAGGTGGACGAGGACCTGGCGGCCACGCGCACGCAGCGGCCCTCGGGCTTCAGCGAGGTGGCCGTCCTGCAGGAGATCCGAGAGCACTGCGCCGAGCGGCTGCGCGCCTCCGGCATCAGCGACCCGCGCATCTTCCTCGTGTCCAACCTGTCGCCCACGCGCTACGACTTCCCGATGCTCGTGTCCACCTGGGAGCACGACCTGCCCGCCCACCGGCGCCATGCGGGGCTGCTGTCGCTGCCGGACATCTCGCTGGAGGCCCTGCAGAAGAAGAAGGACATGCTGCAGGAGCAGGTGCTCAAGACGGCGCTGGTGTCCGGCGTCATCAGGC